CAAAGACCTACTCAAGATCAACATCTGGCACAGATGGGGCAAAGACCAACACAAGATCTACATCTGGCACAGATGGGGTTAAGACCTATACAAGATCACACCTGGCACAGATGGGGCAAAGACGTACCCAAGATCAACATCTGGCAAGAGATGGGACTGATAACTTCCAGGCTCTGCCCCTTACTGAGGAGTTATTGATAGTTGATAGCTGCTAAAGGGAAAGAATCATTCCTTTGGGGAAATACGGCCACTAGGAAGATTCTTAGGCTCCAGTGAATTGCTCCACACCCGTGAACAGATGGGCAGCACTAACTGAAGTTGGTGAATTATAAAACAAAGAATGAAGATGGAAGGGGACATATTGGGGGAAAAATAAGGGAAGCTAGAGAAAATGAGGTATATAAAATTTCTTATATACCTGTATAAAATTCTCAATAATAAGAAAAAAATTAAAATATTACAGTAGAAATGACAAACGAAATTGGCAATAGTTATACAATTAATTGCCAGGGTGACTAAATAACAGTACATCTGGTTTTCCTGGTCTTCAAGTATTCTTCAAGAGCTGTTTACTAAGGCATTGTGACACGCACAGGTAAGACAGGTGAGGATTACACAGTCTGTTCCTCCACGAACAAATACGATAATGCTAAGAAAAAGAACAGGTGACTTGACAATGTCCATGTACTCACAGACACTTTGACAGGTACAAAACAGAACACTCAGAAATCTTTTGCGTCAGTACGGCTTTCTGGTGGACATCTAAGAGCTGATATCTGACGGGCGAGAAGAAAGGGAAGAGAATGAGCAGAATGAGAGAAGAGCACGGAGCGGGCAGGAGGAGCGCGTGTGGAGTTCAGAGCGGGCTGCCTTGGCGAGGAGTGAGAGCCGACAGGTAGAGGTAAGTCTGAATAAGTGGATTTGGATATTTTCATTTGATGATGAGGAAATTTGAGATTTCCTGAGGATAAACGGTAAACAGTTAAGGAAGTAAACGCTGGGAGATTGAAATGTACTTGTCAAGTCACAGTTTATGAAGTGTGGCTCTTTTGCTGTTGCTGTTTTGATTTTTGACTACATTTAGTAAATAAACCTTGGTTCCTTGGTCGTAACTGAGAAGATCACCATGCCATTGCAGTTTTACTTTTAAATTATTTTTTGAGATTATAATATAATTTTATCATTTCCCTCTTCACTTTCCTCTGTCCAAACCCTCTCATATATCCCTAATCACTCTTTTTCAAATCCATGGTCACTTTTTCATTAATTATTATTACGCACATACACACATGCACGTATACATTACTAAATACATAAATACCACTTGCTCTGTCTGTATAAGGCTACCTGTATGTCTATTTTCAGGGCTGACCATTTGGTGTTGGACAGCCAACCGCTGTGTTCTTCCCTGCAGCAGAATACTTATTCTGCTCTTTCAATTCCTTAGCTGCCAATAATCCCAAGGGTCTTTGGAGCTACGCCATTGTCTTTAAGGATAGGTTTCACAAGAATGGAAGAAATGAAGAGAGTGGGAGCCACATGGTGCATGCAGAATACAGACGTACCTGTTGTATCATCTAATGCAAGTGTGGTCATGACTCTTCATCTAGTTCATATCCATATTTCAGAAAAGTGGTGTTCCAGGTTAAATGAACCCTCATATTTTAGGCTGACCACATTACTTTGTGACTCTTATCAAAATGTTACTCTTTATATATAAAAAAGTATCTGTTTAACCTGTTTAAGGCTTTGAGGAATTTAAAGTAATAGGAAAGGAATAAATAACGGATGAATACATTTTCATTAAGAATGCTTGTGTTTTGCACACCTTTCCCTTTGTAAGAACAAATATCAATGTAGAAGCTACCACTGAAAGAGATACTGTGAGCTATTTTTACTTTATTCCAGGAATCAGTTAATTAATCCAAATTTATTGAATCAAAATTGACACCTACCTTGTCTTAATTCTCTAGTTATACTTTGCTCCCATTCCTGTAGCACCTGAAATCAGTCAAATATTCATTATAATATTTAAATTAAGCAATAAAAAATACAATGGGGACTATATATCATTAAAATGTGGCCAATGAGCATTGAGGTAACACATACCTGCAGTCCCTACTTACAGGAGGGTGATGTAGGAGAAAGCTGTGAATCCCAGGCCAACCCGGGATTCACAGTAGTACAAAGTTCAATTGGATTACATAGTGAGACTCTGTCCTTAAAAAAATTAAATACAGCATGCATCTATTCATTCATTTTAAAATGTGTATAGAAAATAAAAGAAAAATATTACCCTTAATTGAGACTTTTAGGAGTATACTTAGCTAGAAGATGTCTTTAAAATCATAAGTAAACTGAAATCCCACTATGCTCCAAGTTAAGTAATAGGGACGACGTGCGGGCCTGTTGTAGATTCATCAATGCAAGTGTGATCGTTACCCCTCATCTAGTTCATGTCCATGTTTCAAAGAGTTGTGTTTTTAATACAAAGGTTAAACAAATCTTCATACTTTAGGCTGGTTGTATTACTTTGTGATTCTTAGCAAAAATGTTTCTCTTTATGAAAAGGGTATCTGTTTAATCTCCTTTTTCACTCCAGTGTTTTTTCCCTTAAAAAGAACTTTACATTTCTGACTATTAGAAAATTAAAAACTGAGGCTGTTTGGGTAAGATGATGGATTAGAAACTACCTCCATGTGCTGCAGGGAATGAAAAGAGTCCAAATAGCAAGGAATGGACTAATCCAGAGACAGCGAGATTGTCAAAGCACTGGAAACCACAAAGAAGACCCTTGAAAAGCGTGGAGAAACAAAGGGAGGCAGGGACAAAAGAAGAATGATCACATACTTCCCAATTTTGAGGGAGGGGGTGATCAATTTCCTTTCAAAAGGTAGACGATGTGGCCCTGGTGAAAAGAGACAAGTGGTCAATGCATGTGACAAATTCATGCTTCCTGCAAACTTTCAGCTTGGAAGAAACAATCATTCTTCATGTGTTTGGTCAAATCAAGAACAGGTCTGTTTGTCATTCCCCAAGTCTCAGAGAGCTGTGGGAAGTCATCATCTTGAGAGGGAATCTAATTGTTTTTAAGACTAAAATTTTGTAGGGTCCTTGTATAAAGGTACAAATACATGTGAAGAATCCCAAAGCCAACCCCACAGCCAAAATGTGAGACACAGAGGCAGGAGGCAGTCATGGAAAGAAGTTGGGCAGGATTCTGACATGCCAAGAAATTCAAGCAGCATGAGGGTTTGTATAAGCAGTCTGCCCTCTGAGGCTAGGAGGTAAGCCTATCATACGGAGATGTCTACAGAATCTCATCGGTCAAGCCTGAGATCGTTAGATCTCCCAACTCTGAAGCCACCGATCACTTGAGATCCATGGGTGATCCAACTGAAAAAGGTGAAATTTCAGTGGAATAGCAGCTCTGTTGTCTTGTGTAGGAAGTGGAGGGGTCCTGAGTGGATGCATGCTATTACCACGTCAAGGACTCCTTACACTCTGGCTCAGAGGGATGGCAAAGCCTTCCTTGGAGGACTAAGAGTGAGTGTTGACAGTGTGTGCAGGAAATGCCCATCATAACCTTCTCCTCCTGGACTCCCCTGCAGAGATTGTTCCTGCTAATAGTAGCTAAACTTGTGATCCACTCATAAACCGTCAACCCTGCCTCTTGTTTATAAAGATGCAATAACCATGTCTTCACATTTAGCTGTTTGTAATAACTCTGTTTCTTTGTTCACTTCTATGTAATAAATACGTTCAGCTTCCAGGGTGCTGCAATTTCTCCATCAGAGAGCCAAGCCCACCCCAACCCAGCAATTTCTGTCTAACAGATATCTGACACTTAATATTTTAGGGTCAGCACAAGCCTAAATGTAAGAAAAAATAATAATCTCCAATTTCACGCTCTCTCCACATCCCAAGTTTGGAAGACTTAAGTTTTAGAGGTCTCTAATGTTCCAAGTGTACATTTAGAAATGACTAGTGACTTTTAAAAGGAAAATACAAACAATGGGATGAAGAAAGGACATCAAGATGTAGAAAAGGATAATATAAAGTAGAAAGACAGCTACATGGAAAAATTCATCAAGGAAACATACTTTCAAAAATTATGTAAATGAGAAACTCAATTAATCAAAAATAAATACAGTAAATAATTGCTAATTAAGGTTACTATAGCCAGCAGAGTAGGAGATTAACAGAAAACAATATTTAAAGACAAGCACAAATTAAGATGATCACCAAGGATCATCAGGATCACCAAGCCAGTACCTAGTCACCCTACAGGAACAACTGCCAAATGACAGGAATCCTCAAGGCTATGTAAGAACTGACTGGATTCCTGTGGAAGTGTTAGATGTGAGGTGATTTAAGGAAGTGATAGTATCAACCTTTTGTGAGGCAGATGTTAAATTCATGGGCAACGGTGACAGAATTTTCCCACAAGACTGGAAAGATTTGGTTACAAACCTGGTCCTTAATTGCAACGGAACCATTGAACAATGAAGTAGGGCTAGAGGTATGGACGTTTCCCAAGACCAACTTCTTGGCGGGTGGTGGTGGCATATGCCTTTAATCCCAGCACTTGGGAAGCAGAGGCAAGCATAGTCTTTATGTCACTTACTAATAGTCTTCCTTTCTGAAACTTCTTGACCCAGGATCCCACAGTTCGAATCACCCCCAGCACTGTTATCTGTGTTCCTACTAGGATGGCACAGTAAGATCCACTTAAAGCATTCGGCTGCTTTTCTAGTCCAAATTTCCAAGGTCTTCCAGATTTCTCCAACACATATCACGGTCAGGTCTATGGAAGCAATACCCCAGTTCCTGGTACCAACTTAGTTCCGTATTCTGTTGCTGAGAAGAGACACTATGGCAAAGGCAATTCTTATAAAAGAAAACATTTAACTGGGGCCTTGCTTAGAGTTTCAGAGGTTTAGTGCATTATCATCATGGGGAACCTAGTGGCATGTAGGAATGTGCTGAAGCTGGAGCTGAGAGCTACATCCTGATCCACAGGCAGAGAGAAAAAGACTGGGTTTAGTGTGAACCTTTGAGACCTCAAATCCCACCCCCAATGACACACGTCTTCCAAAAAGGTCACACCCTCCTAATCCTTTCAAATAGTCCCACTCCCTGGTGACCAAGCATTCAAATATACGAGTCTATGGGGCATTCTTATTCAAACCACATATACTAAGCCAGAAAACTCTTGATAGCATATGGGACCAACCAACAACAACAAACCCTGAACCATCACACAAACAACTTACAAAAGCACAATATTATGGGAATCAGAAAAGCCTCTTTCAATAATAATCCTGAGTATAAATGATCTCAACCCACCAATTAGATACAGAGATGGTTGGTTTAAAAAAAACCTCTTAATTATCTAAACACTTTTCTGGCAAAGACAGACTGAAAGTAAAGTCAATAAAGTCAATATGCAAAAATGTAAATCAAAGATATGTAAACCCAAACCAATAGGAACAGCCATAATGATAGCTGATAAAGTGGACTTCAAGCCAAAGTTTATTCAAAAGTGACAAAACGCCACACATATTTTTAAAATTTTTTGTTGTTTTCCCCATTTCTCTCCTTACTCCAACTCCATTTTTCTTTTAACTTCATGGCCTCTTTTTCTTTTCATTTTTACACATATATTTTCATATAAATTTATAAATACAACCATTTGAAACCCTTTAGTGTTGCTCACATGTGTATGTGTTCAGAACTGACTACTATGCTAACTTATCAAGGGGCTTGTTCCTGGGAAACATGGATTCTCTCACTCTGAGCAGGCATTCATTACCTGTAGCTCTTCATCGAAAGGTAAGGCCTTGTGAGAGTTTCCCTAGCCACACTGGCATGCTAACTGGTATCATTTTTCAGGACTCTTGAGATTCACGGGTACAGCTTGCCTTCATGTGGAAGACAGCCTCACAGCAGATGCCGCCCGCTCTGGTTCTTACAATCCTTCCGCTCTCTCTTTGGAGATGCTCCCTGAGGCTTTAGTGTACTCAGCTGTTCTAAGTCAGTTGTGGGTTTCAGTAAAGGTCTTTGTCTGCTGCAGAAAGGATTTTCTTTGATGAGATAGTGAGAGCTACTTTTAGTTGTAGGTATAAAGTGTTGAGAATGAGTAGTGGACTAGGTTTCCATTACCATGCATGAATTCTCTCCTATTTTGTGGACCTTAAAGTCCAATTAGATGACCCTTGATGTTGCTCCTAGGATATGTGCTACAATTACACCTTGTGATAGTTTGAACGAGCTATCCCCACAGACTTGGGCATGTGAATGCTTGGTCCCCAGTTGGTAGCATTGTTTGGGGAGGCTTAGGAAGTGTGGCCTTATTAGAGGAAGTGTGTCACTGGGGGTGAGTTTTGAAGTTTCAAAGACTCTTACCGTTCCTAGTTCAGTCTCTCTGCTTCTTGTCTACAATCAGGATGTGAGTTCTTAGCTTGTGGCTCCAGCCATCATGCCTTTTGCCACACCTGCTGTATCCCTGTGCTTTCAAAGAGTCATTCATACCAACATTCCTCAAATTATTTCACAAAATCGTAAGTGAAATAAACATTTCTATTTTTAAATGAGGGAAGTGTCATACTGCTATCAAAAAAAAAAGACTGAACAAAAAGAGAAAATACTGGGCTAACTTCTTATAAGATGAAAAACAAACGGCTGAGAAACACTTTTAAAATAGTCAACATCCCTACCCATCAGGAAAATAGAAATTAAAGTTACATTGAATGGCTAAAACCCCAGACCCAAATGTTAACAAATGGGGGGTGGACGTAGTGAAGTGGCAGCAGTTATTCACTGCTGTTCAAAGTACAAGCCTATGCAGTCGGTAGAGAAATGAAGGTGGAGGCTGTTCAAATAGCTGAACACAGACCTACCGCACGACACAGCTAGACCAGTCTGGACAAATGTTCACAGGACTCTGTCCTGCTACAGAGACACTGTGCACCCATGCTCCCTGTTCCTCTATTCACAACAGCCAGCACATGGAAAGAGCCCAGATGCCCATCAGGTGATGAATGGACAATGAAAATGTAGTATATTTGCACAGTTAATATTAATCAGCTATTAAGAAAAACAAATGTGTGACCTTTTTATTTGCAATGTTTTTGAAATGAAATTCATAGGTAAGTGAGTGGAAATAGAACAGTCACCCGGAGTGAGGTAACCCAGGCCCAGAAAGATAAACACCACATATTTTTTCCTTATTTATGGATGTCACCTTGAATCTTTCAATATACACGTTTCATCTGGAATGCCCATCAAGGTGAGGAAATTACTAAGGGCCTATGAAGAGGCTTTCAACAGAGGGGATATATAAAGCAGATTTATGAAAGGTTAAGAGGGAATTATGGGTCAAAGGGGTTAATTTTGGGTAAAGAAACAGAGTAGGATAAAAGAAAGAAATTGGGAAGGATAAATAACACTAAAGGCTTAAAGAATTCATATGAAAACTTACCAATGCAGACAGAAAAGGGTCAAAATGGGGAGTTATTCTATAGCACGGCAACAATGTCCCTACTTGACACCACAGCCTGACAAATAAAACCCAGCCCAGGAATGAGTCACTTCTCTATAGGTTGTTTGTTAGTAAGTCTCCAAAGAACCCCCACATTACAGGTTTTGATGAAGATCTTGGTTATCCCCAGAACTTGATGGTAGACTCTATTGCTGAAGACACCACATGCTTGAGTCATAGAGCATGAAGACGTCAAGATGGTGCTGACCTGGAAGCTTTACCCACAGTGCTGGGACATGCTGTGTGTGCTACTACAGGGGGAAGGTGATCATCACTCTTACCTGTCCATGAGACCCTTTGATGTACATAGAGATTGGCCTGTCAAGGTATTGTTCACTGGTGCAATTGTGGCACAAACATTATGGGAGTAACCAACCACTTTGGATTTAAGTACTGTTCAAGAAGATAAAATCCAATCTGCTACCATTACTGGCCCGAGAACATGTGACTGGGCAGGTTCCTGAGTCCTTGGAGAGAACCTACTATTGCTCTTCCAGTAAATGGACACTGTGTTAAACTGACTTCGAATGTTTTACCACTATATTCATAGATTAATGCATCTCTTCAACCCTCATGAAAAAGTTTTCTATTTGCTATAGATAGTGATTAACATAGAGACTCACAACAAGCCAAGGTTCCAGGAATAAGATCCTGCAGAATTCTTAGCCCTCAATGGCACATTTATACTGCACCTTCTCTTCCCAAGGCTAAGGGACCACGGCAGAGGGGCATAAAGACTGCAAAACCAAGAAGAAGTGAACGAACAGAAGGGACCAGTATGTTCCAGACAAAGCAGCCAGCGACACACACAAACTGACGGTAGTTATGACAGCATACACAAGCCTGGTACACCTTCAAGCAAGAAGAAATACCACGGCAATGGGAAGTGGACATGAAGTTCCACTTCTGTCAGAGAAACTGTTGCAGCTGACAGCTGCTGAGAGTCACTTTTCTTTAAGATTGTTGCCACTGATAGGTTCACTATGCTGCACATTCATGAATACATAGACATTAAAATTGGAATGATGGATGAACAAATGAGGGGCCAAACACAGTTGAGTGTGTAAGGAAGGTGACAGTGGAAAGTTCACAAGGAAACACTAAAAATAGCAAAGGAAGCAACCAATGATGGCAATAGGAAATGAAAGGTTGTCACAATGCTTATAGGCTATCAGAACTAATATTGTGAATTTGGCCATGATATGGAAAGCAAATCATGAGTCAATGCAATTCCATTAAAATATTAATATTTTTCACTTAACTAGGAAAAAGCCTGGAACTAATATAGAAGCACAAAGTAAAATGACTTACAAGGAAAGCCCAAGCATTTTAAAACAAACCTTTGGTTTTCGCTGTCACATTCCTTTTCTAAAGAGTGAGCTAATACGGCTTTAAAGAAACTGCAGTCTAGCGTTAGTTACATCTGAGACTCAGATAACAAATGAGTGCTGCGTGGGAATGAGCTTCTGAGCTTCTGAAAATCATCAAATTTCTGCTTGCTTTCTTTATGAGCATACACTGTGGTGTCCACTCAACATGCATAAACCAACTTTTAGTATTATCTGAATGAAAAAGAACTACACCAGAACGGAATCTAAAGCAAGTAAAAAAGATTACCTTAGTCTTGCAGTTTTCCTTGGTCTCAACTGAATGCCAGAGGCTTGAGGTAGGAACCATTACATTTTCTCCAGAGAAACTTCTTGCAATGAGAAGTCTATTACTGAGGTCTCTAGGACAGGAGGACTCTAGCACGGATCTTGTGTCAACGGTGCTGTACTGAGAAGCTCTACTCTGCTTCCTCTCCAGCAGGAGTTTAGTCTTCACCTCTGCTAGCCTTTCATCTGTTCTAAGAAGAGTGCAAGACAAGTTATTCATACCTCATTTTCCTGAGTGCATCCTCAATAACCTACAATTCCTCCTCAAGCAGTATCTTAGTACTCAGACTGTGTCAGAGCGTATACATTGTATCTAAATAAATAGTTTAAACTGCTTTAAAGCAGTACATGTATTTCTAGGGAAATTTCTAACTAGCAAACAATCCAAACAGTGTAGAAGAGATGTGTTGCTAACACGTGGCTCAACGGGTAACACTGCTGACTTCTGGAGAAGCCCTACGCATTTGATTCCCGATGTCCCTAGAAACACGTGAAAGGGGGACCGTGAAATGGTGAGTATGCTAGTTTGCCCTGCTTTAATTGCCAATCTACTTCATGAGAACATTGAAAGTAAGAGTGAGAAAGTTAGAAATATATGTATTTGGCAAATCAATAAAAAAAACTATCCCTTAAAGGCATTTGTCTTTTATTATATGTACATTCTGCCCATTTTAAGTGTGTGGCAGTGAAAACTAACTCAGAGGAATCATTTCTAGAAGAGGTGGCTGAGACGGCAATCGTGAACAACTTAAGCACCTCCAAGGACAAAGCAGCCATGGCACATTTACAAGACCACAGAGGTAGACTCTGCCCTTGGTGTCTCACTCAGACCTACATTGAATCAGAAAGTGTCTTCCTGTCTTTCCAAATTACACGTTCCTTATGTTTTCCTGGGACAAAACTGTGCTTTCGGGACAGTAGAACACGCTAAAGGACAGTTGTATCTAGGGACCCTCATGAGGTATGGGATAAAACCTAATAAAGGAAAGTTAATCTCCCAGTGCCTAGAATGTGTCCAGCGCAATGATAATAGTATAGCATGACCCACGGACTTAAGCTGTAATTTTCCAATCTTGTCAGTGTTTCTTTTTGAGAGGATGCTAACCAGAAATTTGGTAACAAGAGTTTATGAAGTACACAGCTTTAGAATATGCAGGTTAACTATAAAGCAGGATAAAGAGCCATGTGGAAGAAGAGGGGAAGATAGAGTTGACATAGATGAAGTTATGAAAATTTTAAAAAGGAATATGTGTGCGCTCACATGTAGGTGATTCCCTGGACCTGGAATTATGGGTACTGTGCACTGCCTGATGAGGATGCTGGACACTGAGCTCAGTTATTTTGCAACAGCGGTATGCACTCTTAGACACCGAGCCATCTCTCCAGCCCCTTAAGGATAAGTTATTTTGTTGATTTTATGTTCTGAAATTATATTCTCTTTTCCTGTGAAACTTTTGCAGGGGAGGAACTGCCTTGCCAGGCCAGCACTCTGATTGGCTGCAGCACCAGGCCAGCACTCTGAT